AGATTTTGAATTTGGACCTAGTGACTTTGAAATTCATGTGTACAGCCAAGTGGAGACACACAAGTTCATAGAATGTAGGGTAGAGACACAGGCTTGGGGAGCATCAGCATGTGGATAGTAACCGAAGTCATGGCTGGGAGTAGCAGCACTGCGGGAGGAGTGCAGAGTGTGGGGAGGGAAGAGTCCAGGGACAAAACACTGGGAACCCTGGCATCTGAGAAGCAGGCAGAGGGGAACGGCTCCCTCTCAAAAGGAAACAGCATCCAGAAATGGAGGAAAACAGAGAGAAATATCATGGGAGCCAAGGGGACAGAGGGTTTTGAGAATGGAGCCTTGCAAAGTGTCAGTACTACAGAGCAGTCAGGTATGATAAAGACCAAAAAGTGCATCTGTCCACAATGACATTAAAAAGAATAACAACAACAGGTCAGACATGGTGGCTCACACCTGTAATCCCAGCATTTTGGGAGGCCAAGGCGGGTGGATCACTTGAGGTCAGGAGTTTGAGACCAGCCTGGCCAACATGGTGAAACCCAGTCTTTACTAAAAATACGAAAATTAGCCAGGTGTAGTGGCACATGCCTGTAGTCCCAGCTACTCGGGAGGACGAGGCAGGAGAATCGCTTGAACCCAGGAGGCATAAGTTGCAGTGAGCCAAGAATGTGCCACTGCACTCCAGCCTGCGTGACAGATCGAGACTCCGTCTCAAAAAAATAAATAAATAAAAAGAATAAGAATAACAACAACAAAAACATCATATCTTAAGTATGTGGCTCATTATGCTTTCAAAGCACTTTCATATTTCTTATTTCATTTCTTTGGTGTTACAGCCTATATAATGTTCTTACAGATGCAAAAGCAACAGGGCAGGGAGGTTAGGGGATTTGCCAAAGCCATCTAGCTAGTTAGCGACTTGGCTCCTGGAATTACAGATTTCGGTGGAGAATCTTCACCATGCTTCCTGGTTCTACTCTTAGCTTTTTAACCAACCAATAAAGAAACCAGAATAGGGCCTGTCCCAGGATAACTACTCCTTATTAGTATAGATTGTTAAAGGTTTGCTTATCACACATTGTTTTGCACTCCCCAGAACCCAAAGATGTCAATACTCTGGGATCATCTGAACCTAAAAGGGCATTACCTAATTCTTCAGAAGAAAGGTTTGCACCGAATTCTGTGTATGGGAGAAACCACTGAAGGTTTTCGAGCAGAGACTTGATATAAATTTGAGTGTGCCTTAGAAAGATTAATCAGTATTATTGAACTTGTATTTGACTGTGCTTATGTCTGGGTGATAAATATTCACAGCACCTGCAACAAAATAATGAAAATACACTGTGAAGACCCATCTGGGCTTCTTTTGTAACTTAACTGAACCACTCTCCTCACCCTGCCTTCTACTCCAATGAGTAGGCTGTCTTCACTAGAGAGGGTCACTTCTCATATTTGGAAGCAAAAGCTCCTTGCATAGCTGATGCAGTCAACACTGACCTTCAGATCTCAATTCTCCCATCCCCACGCCTTCCAGAGGCAGGCCGCGCTCTCCATACAGGAGCCTCCTACACACTTATTCACTCAGTCATTCTAGCAAGAGAAGGGGGCCTGCTCCCTCTGGCCTAAGTTTGGACCTAGCCCAAACTTAGCCGTGTGGGGCCAGGCCTGGATCTCTTCTCTGCCTAGCTCTCCACTGGGAGCAATTTACAACACACTTATCTCGGGGAATTCACTGCTCTATTGGGCATGGGTCTGATTATCTCTCTCTAACCTTGTCTATCACTCATACCACAAAGAAACACTAAACAAAGACCTTTATATCAATTTATAACATTTTATTCTCTTTACAGCTCAGATGATATCACAGCAATGTTATTACACTGGAGGTTGGGCAAGGCCCAGAAACAGTCATCACTATGCAATGTTGATTTGCTGAGGGTGACTCACCATCTTATTTCCAGCTGGTGGCCTGTTTCTGGCTTTTCCTATTGACCCATAAAACTAAGCTTCCACCTGGGTGCATGGCTGTCAGAAACAGCTGGAACATTATCAGGATTCTGGTACCAGATGTCAAGGATAGGTGGCATTTCCCTCTCATCCAGCATAAGATGAGTGGTTTCTCTTTTCTCAGTTTGCTATGTATGTGGTCCACCTTTTCAGGGTGAAGGTGGCTGGCTATACAGAAAGAATAAAAGCAAGATAGGCGAATTGTGATCACAAGTGCCTACTTTATCACCTACTTTGCTGTTTTGCTAAATGGAAACATCTGTTAATATTAAATATGAAAACTCTTTCTTTTTTTTTTTTTTTTT